CACCCCCGCCTCAGTACCCTTCAGCTGAACCCTGCGCTGGTCCATAAGGAGAAAGCTGGCAGATCTCATCGCAGCCCCGTGTCCCAGTGGCCGCTACCAGCCCGGGCCTCATGTTCTGCCTTGTTTACAGCTGACAGCGTTATTATTCTGATTGGGGCCCTGCTTTCTTATCATATTGTTGTGTTGAGCGAGCTTTCTCCTCTTCGTTTGTGTTTCCTGGCAGGGCTTTTCTTGCCTTATTGACAGTTTGTAAAAATATGCATTAATTTGGAGTTTCAAGCATGTATCATGGTGTCTCTTTGCTGTGTTTGCTTGAAGTTGATTAATGATAGAACCTCGCTTGGGCTCGGTCTCTGGAGAGTTCTTTCACAGGTTCCGCATGTTAACTAACAAAGCAGAACACACAGCACGCCACGAACAGCCCAGCCTCCAGCCTCCGCAGTCCCCACACACCACAGTTGTCTTACAGACTCTTATTTCACGTAATTATTTGAAGATTTGTACTCATCCACCCAGGATTCCGTGACAGGGCCTGTTTTCTGGTCCTCACAGTGTGGTCCCTGGACTAGCAGCATCACCTGGGAGCTTATTAGAGATGCCGAGTCTCAGGCCCCACCCCAGATCTGCTGAGTCACATGCTGCATTTCATCCAGATCCTGAGATGATTTGCGTACATGCTGATGTGTAAGAAGCACTGCCGAGGAGGAGAGGCCCGTTTCTGTCCAGATACCAGTCATTGTAGAGCAGCACTGTCCAGTGGTAAAAACTGCTGTCTCTGTACTATCCAGTGTGGCAGCCATCAGCCACATGTGGCCCTTGAGCATTTGAAATGTGGCCAGTGCAACAGAGAAACTGAATTTTACATTGTATTAAATTTTAATTAGTTTTCATTTAAATAGACACATGTGGCTAGTGGCTGCTATGTTGGACAATGCAGCCCTAGAGGGTGGCTTTTGTGTCGCCCAAAGCAGGCAGATTGCGTTGGGTTGGGAAGTTCCCTCAATGAACCTTTTCTTGTTTTTCCAGGCATCCTGTACATGTCAAAGAAGAGCCGCTCGACCCAGAGGAAGCTGAAGGGCCTCTCTCCTTAGTGACAACAGCCAACCACAGTCCAGATTTTGACCATGACAGAGATTACGAAGACGAACCAGTAAATGAGGACATGGAATGAACGTCTGGGCGGGCCAACCCCAAAAATGAAGATTGGGAAAAAACAAAACACGTCAAAAGTTAGCGGTGAAATTGTTCTCCATTTGTTGTACAGTCTGGAGGAGTTTCACTACATTTTGACAACTCTGAAATGTGTTAACTCTTAGTGCCATCAAGAATCCCATTTGGGAGTATTTTTGATTTTTCTACTTTTTGTTGAAAAAAGGAATTTGTACTCTGTGCATTGGATGGACTTGTTTGGTACTTGGGATTTTCCTCTCTTAACAGTCAACATCTGTTGTAAATTTGCTAAACTGATTCACTTTTAGCAGCAGACTTTGAACTGCAGTCCTGCCGACGTCGGACACTGAGGACACCCAGCTGAGCATGTGCACCTGAGCTGCAGACCAGGCCTCTGCCCGGGAATAAGGACTCCAGTGGACGACCTATTTGCACAGTACTGCATGTTGATTATCACTGCCTTTACTCTTTTGGTTTTTTTGTTTTGTTTTGTTTTGCTTCCAGGTGGGATGGGGAAGGCCTTTGTGTGTGTATTGGGGGGAGGGGTTAAAAAATAATTATCCCAAACTTTTTAATGTATTGCTTTTTTTTTTTTTTTTGCTTCTACTATACCATTTTAAGTTCTGACCTCAGGCCTCCATTTGGGCCCATGGCCTCTTGGAGGCTTAAAGTTTTCTGTACCTTGTGATGAATGTTAATAGGTGTTTTTATTATACAAAGCTGAATGTCATTTCTTGTTTGTAGTTTTCTGTCACTCATTCCATTTTCCTTCAGACATCACCATGTTTTCTCTAAAGTCAGAGAACATTCCGTTTTGGTCTTTTTCAAAAAGGTCCCAAATGCTGCACTCTTCACATGAAGACCCTCTCACACAGATGTGAAGTCCTGCCAGAAAGAGAATGAATGACAGAAAAAAAATTAGACACACTCTAGGAACAATGCAGATTCATTCCACAAAGCAGTATTGGAAGTGGGAAGGGGTTGTTTCAGATTTTCCTATTTTTTTGCCATAGCATTTTACCAGCACAAGGAACCATAGGCAGCACCCCAAAAAAAATCTCACAGTAGTTAGCCTGACAGTCTATCTGTGGAAGGCTCTCCCTTGTGTAAGCAAGTTGTGATGCCACGGGCGCTCTGTACTTAGAACCAGCTTGTGTTGCTCTGTTTGCAGAATGACCAAAACCTGGCTCCCCTGAGCAACTTTACTGGAAGTGGCGAGTGGTGGTGGTGGTGATGGTGCTGAATTTAAACATCAGTTCAGACCTGCTTGGTGGCATTAATCTGTTTGAATGTAAATTAGGTTTCAGATTGAACTTGTTATGGGAGTTAATGAAGACTGAATTCAGCAAATGCTAACGTGTTCATTTCAAATGTGCAAATTTGCTACTGCCGTTTAGTTTGTTATGCAATATTATCACACCAACCCAATATAAAACTAACAGTAGAAGACATCAAGTGGATGGGGGCACATCTCAGCCCTGGGCTCTTGGGGAGATGAATGTGGCATGCAGGATGTGACGGTCATCTGTTGGTACCACCGCAGTCCTTAGAACCCCTGAACACTTCCACTCTGCACCCACTTTCCTGTCACTCATTTATTTATCTAGGACCATAGCTTTTGTTTTTAGTTGGAGAGCCTTTTGGAGCTTAATTTATATTCTTTGTACCTTTTTTTCTAAAATTACCAAAGATATTACACAAAGGTAAATTATGTTCTCTGTTTTATGCTTTATCTGATGAAGCCAAATATCCTCTTATTGTTGATCAAAGGAGGCGAAAGAATTTAGAGGCAATTGATGAAATATATAGGCTATTGCTAACCTGAGAAAGAGAACTGCTCCTTCATCATAGAGTAAATTTAGAAGACCAAGTAGGTAATGGAACCAAAGTTGTTACTTTTTTTTTAGTTGTTGGTTTTTTTTCTTCTGCATCTCTACAGAGACCAAAACTCATAAAGAGATATTATGGGGCTTTTGAGATAAAAATAGGACACAGTATTAAAGGAGCAAACGAAGGAAGGGAGTCCCATCTCGAAAAAATAAACGTTGCCACTGAAAATTAGGGCATGTCCAATAAAGGAGACAGTTAATAAAATACAGAGAGAACAGAAAAGCTTCCACAATGGAACTAGACCACATAATATATAATAGTATTTCTAGAAATACATTTTAAGATTGTATGCCACTTTTCTTTAAGGACTGTGCTATGATCACTGCATTAATTTTGGTTTATTTTGGCATATATCCTCTGGTTTTTTTTGTTTTGTTTTAATTTTTTTTTCCTGTTTTTCCCCTTTTTTCCTGCCTTTTGTCAGCGTTTTTCATTTTTAAAAAAGTAACACTCCTGTCCACTCATAAGCTTGGAACAAAAACTTTGGCAGTTAACTTTTGAAGCTTCACTCTGCTTTCTGTATAAAGGGCAGTCTGTGGTCACTCGAGACTTTGTTTTAACTTTTCCAGGCAGCTTCATGATGTGCAGGCAGTAGCCAGACAGGGTCATGGGAAAGGGGGGCCCTGTGCTTCTAAACTGAGTGGTTGCTGGTTAGTTTGGTATTCAAAAGAGGATAAAAATCTGGTAGATTAGTTCATTCTCAGCATGTGTAGCTAGACATGAGTAAAGATAACAGCATGAGAAACTGTTAGTACGCATACCTCAATTCAAACCTTTAGGGAATGATTAAAATTTTTAAAAAAATAACATTTCACTCAGTTGCACTTAGTCGTATGTCTTGCATGCTTAGTCTAAAGACTGTAGCAAAAAGAAAAAAAAATTAGATTTTACATATCTTTGCAGGCATCACAGCCTTGCAGAAGAACCAACTGAAAAAAAAAATTCTCAGGCTTTACAAGCAAGCAAACTTCACTCTGATTTTTACAGTTCTGATCCTGTATCCCTTGGGGGTATCCCAGTCGCTTCTTTAAGATGGGGTTTATTATGTTGTACATATATCCCGATGTGTCTGTGTGAATCCTTGTCTTTTTTGGGGGAGGGCAGAGGGCAGTTCTTTTTTTAGATATTGTTCCTAAAAAGGAATAAATGCATACACCTGTTTGTCAAAACACCTTTGCTTTTTGTGCAACTGCTTTATATTAACGATACTTTAAAAAAAATAGCTTTGGAAAAAAACTACTGTATGTAATGGAATTGCAGAATATGCTGCACATGTATTTTATTTAGTTTTTCTTGCTTTAAGAATATTGGATGACATTTCCTGACATGTGGGAGAGAGAAATTCCCTAACTTTTTTTTTTTTTGCTTTTAAATTGTAACATAGTTACATAGTTGACAGACTTTTTTTTTCCTGTTCTCATTGATCAGAGCATTTTGTACAGGTTTTTTTGTGTGAGTGTGTGGGCATGTGTGTTAATCTGTTTTTTGATACATTCCTATCCATTGTGTTTATCCTACCACTGCCTTCCTGGCTATCTTAAACAAGTTCATACATTTGAAAAGAGAAAAAAAAATGTTTTAAAAAATGTTTCCTCCTACTGCAGTAAATATTTTGCATGATGAAATTCCAGGGTCACACTTTCAAAGTTTATCAGTGAAGTAGTGATTAATGGGAGTGTCAAAGCTATTGAACTTTTTGTATAAAAAAAAAATAGAAAACTTTTCAAGGTGCCAAGATGTAAACACAATTTTTTTTTTTTTTAAAGAAAAGCGTACATTAGGGAGATGGTCCTTTGTATCAGGCAAATGCACTGTCAGGAATGAGGATCCACCCTACTTGTCCCTAGAGTCTGTCCTTGTAAGACAAGTTACGCTGCCCACATTGAACCAGCAGTGAAGTGAAGTATAATACCAAGGCTTATGTCCATGAAGAGTGACCACCAGCCCTGCTGCCCTCGGACAGCTCTAACATTATTCCCAGCATTCCATCAGACCTGGTAAAGAACACCTTGGATTCTTAACCCAAAATGTGATGGAAATCACTAGCTATTTTATCATGAAAAAAAAGTTAAAAAAACACCTCCACTCCTTTCCACATTCCAGCTGAGCTCCGTTTCCAAGGATACAAAGTAGTACCTGCTTATAAGGATTCTGAATATTTGGGGTACCTTTTGGTTCATGGTATACCCTTTTAATCTTTTTGATGTTTCTGAGAGTTGGTTTCGCTTTTTTATCCTGAGAATGAGACTTAACAATTCTAAAGGCATTTTGTGGGCCCATGTAGTTCACATGTTCTCTGCTACCAGAAGCCTTCATGAAGATGGTACAGTCCGGACCGTGAGCATGGTGCTTCGTAGATGTGTGCTGCCAGGAACAAGAATTTTTTTTGTTTTGTTTTGTTTTGATAAGGCATAAAAGAAACTCATTCCTTGACATCAACTGTAATTCCATCATTCCGTGTCTGTGGATACAGACAATAAAAAAAAAAAAATGTTGTGTAGTCAGTACTAATTACTGACATTTTAGCATTCTCAAATGCAATAAAAATGCTGGTTGTTCACACTGGTAGTAAAAGTTGCCACAGCCTAAGTTTCTTTTCCCTTCTGACCTGCTGATACTGTATGTTAGGCCTATGCCTCGGGTTTATCACTGGCCGCTTCCAACACAGAATTAAAATCAATCTTAACTAAAAGCTTCCATCATCACGGGGGGCCAAAGCTCTTATCCTCAGGATTTCAGAGTGGAAGTCTCCACTTAGAGAATTCGAAAAACAAAAAAGAGAGGCTACCTTTTCTCAGGAGAAAGCACACTCATTTTTCTTTATCAAATATAGAGAAAAACAAAATGTTGAATAACTAGCATTAAGAGCAAAGTAAAATTTCAGGGGAAAGCAACTTCATGAATAATTCATTAAAATTTCACATCTGCAAGATTAGTCATCCAAATAAAATGCTAATGTCAAAAACATGCACCGTCTATAATATTCTCATCAAGAGATCTTTTTGCATATAATGATAAATGCTCAGATTAGAACAAATGAATTTATTAAAATATTCTATCAAAAATATGCTAGATAAATGCATTCAGTGAAGAAAACAGACCCAGTAACTATTCCCAGAAAAAACATCTTGATCTTGAGATTTTTTTTAATTGCATACCTCTAATAAAATTTATTTCTCTCTAGTATTTCTCTGCTGTATACATTCTCAGGATTAATGAATTTGGGCATCATCTTTCAGTAAAAATTAAATTGGTATATTGAAAGCAGCACGTTAAGTGGCCAAATCGTGGTAACATAAAACCATTATGAATGGAATTCAGAGCACAAAACACAAGCCAAGAGATGACTTGAAAATTAACCTCGCAGTTTTTCCTCAGCAAACACTGGCTGCTGCCGGGGACCGTAGATGCTCTTCGCTCGCATTGTTTGGAAAAGCCCATATTAGGCAAAAACAATATTTTTTTAATGTAAGGTTTTGCTATTAAACTGCAAAACAGTGTCCTCTTCATTAACAGTTATGCCACAGTCTAGAAGCCCTCTAGCCTGATAATTAGTAAAACATTTGAACCCTTAATTCTCATCTAGCTACTAAGAATATAATATTAGGGTTAATTGAAATGTCTTAAAATGCCAGGCTTAGACATAAATACTGCTTACAGCATATGCAGTTGGTAAAATTAAATATGTATACATATTTGAATAAGCTGAGGACCCAAACCAAGTATAACGATGCACTATTGAAGATTTTGCCGGTTGATGCATAGCACATTTTTAATTGCATTTTAGGAACTGTTCTAAAGCAGGAACATCCTCTTACATATTCAGGCTTGTCACTCAGGTAAGGCAGCAAAACCAAAATACTGGTTCTTTTTTATAAAGAGACTAAACTCTTAGGAGGACCAATTTCACACTAACAAACAGATGCATGATAGAACATCCCTCCCCCCCCCCAAAAAAAAAGATCAAAACAAAGTATAATCAGTCTTATTAGATTTTGTCATCTTTGATATTACACTTCTATGTGCAGGGCGGTAACACAGTTTATCTTTCATCATCATTGTAGATGAGTCAAATAAAAGTGTTTTTTATTCAAATAAAGGAAGTTGGGTCTCAAACTTTCATTTAAGAAATTGACTGCTACAAGGCTTAAGAGAATTCACACTGGAGGAAAATTAAATTACGTACAAAAACACTGCTTTAACTGTGGGACAATATTTGGATTAAAGAGCCAACACTCGAGATAGAAACTTATTTATTTTTAAACTATTTTAGTTTTTAAAAACACATATGTCATCTTATTTCCACTCTGATTGTAAAATGACATTCAGTGTTTATACCAAAAATATATACATATCCATTTGAAATTATTGATGGGTTTTTTTGCTGTTTTTTTGTTTTTTGGCTTATACCGAGAAGCATATTGGGAGGGGAAAAGGACAAGCTTCAAGTTATAATGTTAATTTGAAGGTAACCGGCCTTTCAAGAATTAATTTCAGCCAAAGCAATAATCATTATTTACCAGCTTGTGACATTTTTATCACTCATCATATTAGCAAATTTCCATTGAAAATGCTAAAATGGTTTGTCATAAGGCAGATAACTGCTCTAGCTATAAAAATGACCAACACAAGTGCCGGTACTCAAACATTAAATTATACTGTAATTAATAAAGACAGTTAAACTGTCTACTAGCAACAGCAATTTAGGTAGCCACATTTGATCAGCTATAAATTGTAACTACATTAAAATCCCAGAAATATTAGCAATATGGATTACTTGATGGAAGCCAGGGCTGATCACCAACTCTTTTTTTTTTTTAAACAACAGAAGCCCAGGTCAGGTTGACCACAAATCCATGGGCGAAGATCAGGCCTTAGCACTTTTAATCTTGTGAAACAAGCAATTACAAATAGCTGCATCGATTTGTTAAAAAGCTTTAGGTGACATAAATTGTTTCCTGTTTAGCTTATTGCTCTGATACATAAATGTCACCAAGTCCAGTATTAATTGGGGCCATAGAAGAACAGGGTGGCTTCCAGTGAAGATTTGTCAATCCTTTTTGAATGTTCTCAAGAGCTGCTCTTGCTGGCTCGTTTCTCATTTGTGAAAGAGGAAAGAAAACTGCTTTGTTACGTGAAGTCTTGAATATCAGTGTTATTTTTGGTTCTAAACTAAATTGCAGGATTTCAAGCTTGCTTTCTTGCCACTTGACAAAGCACCACATTTTAAAAATATCTTCTAAATAGAATAATATTTACAAGCTATTTAAGCCCCTGAAAAGCTAACACTTCTCCCTTCTCAATATATGGTACTATACATGTTTTCCTGGGTTGATATTTCTACACTTAAAATACAATTTTAAATGGTTTGTGCATTCTATTGACTTAACATAAATCAAATGGTATCATATATACTTTCTTTAGGTTGGCATGCCACTTAGAAAAATACATTAGATTCCGGGGGGGAAAGTCTGGAGAAAATTTATTAAATAGAAGTTTTTACTGTAATAGAATATTAATGTAGGCCAATGCTCATTTGCCATTGAGCTGATCCTTTTTTAACATACACATGCTTTTTATTATTTTGCACTCAAGCAAAAATTCCACATTCAAAGACTTTCCATCTAGTCGGGAATGTCTCTGGCAAGAAACACATAAGAAACCCTGACCTCCAGAAAGACAGCAGACATCGTCCACGCTGAGCATTAGCCCCACGAGGCAGCAAATGCAAACCCACTCCTAAAACATAAGGTACATGCTAGTCAATGTCGTGCAGTTGGGAGAAACAATTATTCTTTAAATCCCTTCTCACCGCCACTACACCAGCACACAGATGGAAATGTTTGATTTGCAACATAAAAGATTCATTAATTACCACTTGAATATTTAAAGCTATTTTGCAGTCTAACAGAGATAGATAAAGCAGTGAATTAAAACCTCTAATAAAATTGTAAAAATATTTCAGTAAGTTTACCCATGTTATGATTTAGGGAGAGATTCAAGCATTCTCACAGAATACAGTCTTAGTAATTTTCAAGTGTGTATTTGAAGGAAGGAGCTTAAAGTGTTCTGTGAATGATTTGTTTCTCACTTTCAAATGTTTACTAATAATGTATTTGCAAATCAAACTTGCTGCTTTAGGACTCCATGGATCAGGGTAAAAAATCTGCCAAACAGGTTGGAGCATTGTATATCTGATCCAGAAATTAAAGTACTTTGAAAAGTATTCAACTAGGCTGAAGGGTTTAACAGCTATCACATAAAAGTGGTGATTTCCTACCCACAAAATGCATCAAATCTAAAAACACCCAACCCCCAGGACACGGGTCCCTCCCAGTCCTGCCCAGCACTGGATTTATCTACTTATGATCCATGGTAGCATGTCAGTGTCTGGATCCCAGATCCCTGAAGGGGACAGTGCTCAGCACACTCTTTGAATCAAATGCTAGAACATCCAAATGCCTGCTGAGCTGTCTCAGCCCTGACCATAACGAACTGGGTGACTTTAGCAAGTTACTTCATCTCTTTATTCCTCAGCTTTCTCTTCATTGAGGACATTTAATGAAATGATAAAAAGGGTTCCTTCCAATTTTAAACTTTTAAAAATTGAATAACATGTTCCCCCTTGGGGACTTTTTTTATGAAATCCATGGTGTCAGCATGGAGTGTGGGCGGCACTCCATATTTCACCAATATTGTAATATTATCTAATTCAACTCTGCTTTGTGACATGCCCTGTTAGGAGCAAATTTCACTAGCATGCATGCTTCCATCCATCTATCCATCCATCCATTCATCCATTCATCCATCCATCCATCCATCCACAAATAAGCATCAAATGCCCTGATCAAACTCAACACGAAATATAACTGGAGATAAGATAGACACAGCTTTGGTCTCATGGTACCCAGTGGTTCACTGGGAAGAGAGTTCTTAAACATTAGGTTGTACTGTAATGCAGTAAGTGCTAATGACAGGGGAAGTACAGGAATATAGAGAAACACCACCTAATTCCACTGGGTATAATCAGGGAGGCTTCCCAGAGCACACGATGTGTCATTGAACCCCAAAGGATGTCCCAGAGTATGCCAGCTAGGAGGAAGGGGAAAGTTTTTCCAAGCAGACACAATAGAGCAGTGTGAGAGGCGTGAGACTTCAGAGCAAAGCCAGCTAGAGATCTTCTAGAACTACACTGGATAAAGTCACTGTTGCAGTTCTCATAAATCAAGCACGTGGCGACATCCTAATTCCAATCACTGTTAACAAACCCAAGTACTTCACACCGTCCTGCTCAGTAATTCCTGAGGCATTGCTCTGCCAGCTTCACATTCCTGTGAGGACCTTGTCCTCCTGCAGCCCTCTCGTCCCACCCCTGGCCACCTGGCTCTTCTTGGATGCCAGGCATGCTCAGAGTTCCTGTTTTCTTTATGGCGGATGTCTTGCTCCTGCCCTTTGCAGGGCTCACACTCTCCCTCTCTTCCAGTGGCCCAGCAGAGAGGCCTTTCCTGACCATGCAATGTACGTGGCGCCCTGACCACTCTGCCCTCGCACTGTATGACCCTCCTTCCCACGTTACT